GGAGCTGAGCGGGGTCGCTCAAGCACACGGGGATTGGACGGGAGAGAGAGGAAGAGAGTGCACGCGATGCCTGTGTCGTCTCTGTCGATGGGAGCGCCCATGGTCGCGGGGCGGGCATCACGCCGACACGCGCGGCAGAAGCCCCGCTGTTGTTCGTTTCTCGGTCCGGGTGTGCTTCTCTCCTTGCCATGCGAGGATGCCCCCGTGAGAGAAGAGTCCGCCATGCACCTGGTGGCTGTCCTTTGGTCGTGGGGTGGCCATCTTGATCGGTGTACCGACCTGCTCTCGGGGTCCGACCATTGGCCCTGGCCCGCGGCCGCCGGCGACGGGGAAGATGGTCCGCGGGCTCGGGGGTTTCCGTCCCGGCGAGTGGTGGTGGTGGTGGTCACAGATCGTCCGTCGGTCACTCACGAATACCTGGGGCGCTTTTCAAAAGGTTCGTCAGGTAGGCCTCGTCTCCCGGGCGGGGGGCAGGCCGACATCGTGTGGGCTTTCCGCCTGGAGGCCCGGCATGGGCCGCGGCCTTTCGGCGGACGGGGCGATGCCACGGTGGCGTGTTATTCCGGCTCGTGGCGATTCCCACTCTCTCGGTGTTGCCATGCTTCCTCCCGGAGGGACGCTGGTGTCCGAAGGCAAGCGGGGAGGGGGTGTCTTCCGGGCCGCGCCGACCGCCGGGGCAATTCCCTGGACAGCTGGTGGGCTCCCTCCTCTCCCGAGCATGGTGTCGGCTGTCCCTCTGGTGTCTGTGTGTGTGTGTGTGTGTGATAGTGTGGTGGTATTTTTTTTGCATCCTCGCCGAGTATGCGAGCTGCCTGTCGTGCCAGACAGCTCTCCTGGTGGTGGCCTCGCCGGTTGGTTGTGAGTGGGCGTGGTCCGGTGTGATGGGGTGTGGATGTTTGACGGCACCAGGAGCATGGCTGTCCTTTGGGTTTCTGCGGGAAGAAAAGCAGCAGCTGAATCCTGTCTCGTGGCATGCGTCGGGCGCAGGGGGCGCAGGGGGG